CCCGGGCTTCAGGGTCAGAGAGCCAGGCAGCAGGCCCCCTCTGCAGGTCTAGGGGTGAGTGGAACTAGGGTCGGGGAGGGAGCTGGATGGTCTGTGGAGACTGGAGTGCCCCTCAATCCCAACCCGCAGCCCCTTGCTATCCCAGTCCTTGTTTCCCTGCCCTCACAGCTCTGCTGGTGCCCCTCCAGCCCAAGCGGGGTCCCGCCCCAGGGCTCCCCCACCATGGGGACCACACTGGAGGCGGCGGCTCAGGGGGCCACGTACAGCAGGGGGTTCCCCAGCTCTCACCTCTCAGCCACCTTCCCGAGAACACCTGAGGGCATCAGAGGGATGGTGGGAAATGGAACTGCCAGGGGCGGTTTTGGGGGACAGGGAGGACAGGCATTGCAGAGGGGGCAGATACATGCAAACTTCTCCCCATCCTCCAGCTGCCCTCACCCCATTGTCCCCTATGGAGCTGTGTAGGGCACAGGCCCCCTGGGTCTCCCAGATACTACACAGGGGCAGACCAGCCCAGTTGAGACCCGCTCAGCTCACTGCACCAGTGACCAGCCTCAAGGCTGCAGAACTCCAGCTTTGCCAAGAGGGGGAACTTGCCCCGCCTCCTGGAGAAGGGCAGCCAATCAGGAGGAAGTCATCTCCCCACTCAGGAGCTGAGAGGAGTTTTTAGGTAGGGGAGGAAAAAGTGGGAGCGGCCTTGTGACCATGCTGCCCGTGGGAGCCAGCTGAGGTCATTCAATTAGGGTGAACTGCAAACAGAACAGGGCAGACAAACCCCGAACGCTGGTGGATATTCCAATACTTAGATTTACCCAAGCCAGCAGCAGCGCAGAAGTCAGGGGGGCCTGGCACATGGTGAATTTCCACCCTCCTGCGCTGCAGCTGTGGCTTGTGGTACCTCAGCCTCGGCATGTGGCTCAAGGCTTCGCGCTGTCACACGTGGGCTGCATCTCACCAGAGCCCACGGCCTGCTGCAGCCCCCTGGCCACTCCTGGCTCACCCGGGGCGGGGGCACCAGTTCAGATTTGGGGTGGGGGGAGGAAACTTTAGCCATGATTCCAGGGACTACTTAGGCACCTGAGAACTCTTGGGGCTTTTTCAGATATTAATTTAGGGATTAGCTGACAGGAGCTCTGTATCTAGCTGTTATATAAAGAAAGAAACAATAGATACAAACGCCAATTAAAGCCACGTTTAAAGCTTATATGTACATTTAGAACAATCAGGAGATAATACAGCAAGATATTCCCAATCCCAAGCCTTGAGGTGTCAGTTCTGGAGCTTTAATGCAGAAATCAGAGACACACATTTGATACACTATCTTTAGTAGAGATAAATAAATATAAATAAAATCTGCTTACACAGACACACTGTGTTACTGCCATTATCTCCTCTATTTTAGTCAATTGTTTTTCACTTAAAACATAATTTTAACATATGTATTTGAGGGTTTTTTCTCTTTTATTAAGAAAGGGAATTCATTTTTCTAATTCTTTTGGCATTTCTGTTTACCGACCACAGTCATGTTTGTGACTCACTAACATTTGACTCCATCGTTGCTATTGGTATCATCATTGGAACTGCAGTTTATTTTCATGCAAATGTTAAATTAATTTACAGCTATAACTAAAAATACAATTTGAAAATAAGCGACCTTCATCTGCGCAGTGTCTACAGTTCTGTGTTTAGCTAATGTTTATTAAACTGGCATCACTAAAGTGAGTACAAGCTAAAGTTACATTCTAGGAGGATACTATTATTTGATTGTACCACTTTACATAATGAATGACAAAGCACAATATGATAACAGTAATAATGAGAATTACTCCAGCCAGACTCTTTAGAACTCACTACTCAAAGAATTCAATGTAAGCATAAAAGAGAAATAAAATTATGAAACGCAGAGACCAGTCAAAAAACTCAAATAACGGAACTTTGAAAGAATAAAATTCCAGAGAATATATGTGCATTGGAAGAAGTACCAACAAGTAACACCAACAATATCATTATGTGTTAGGGGTGATGAATGTGAAAGAGACAGCGTGTGTGAGCTGAGAGTGTGTGTGACCCGGGGGAGTGTGTGCGAGACCACATGCTGCCCCTTTAAGAGAGCAGCTCTTAGCAGTTTCAAGGAAAGCTCCTTTAGACACGCCAGCAGCTCCTTCCCTCTCTCGCTGAGCCCTGTGCCCCCCCCACCTGCTCTGCGGAGATGGGGTACATGGCGGGGGCAGGGGACAGCCTGACATCAGAGCCCCTCCCCCCTGCTCCTTACAGCAGACAGGAAGCTCCCAGGAGCAGCTGGCCAGGGGCGGCTCCAAGGCAGGGGGCAGGAGCCACGGGGCTGTAGAGGCCAGCAGGGGGAGGGGCACCCCTGCTCTTAGGGTGACCAGGCAGCAAGTGTGAAAAATTGGGACGGGGGTGGGGGATAATAGGAGCCTATATAAGAAAAAGACCCAAAAATCAGGAC